CACAAACATGAGTGTAATTATATATAATTGTCACTGATTACCTTTTTATTTCTTTCCAGGATAAAGTAGCCAATATTTGGTGCAGTCTAAGTGTCCTTATAAAGATAAAGAATGTAATATCCCCTCGAACTCAGCTGAAACTCAGGTGAGACATAACTGGAGTGCCTTAGGTAGTTTTTATCCTCAATATTTTTTGCAAGAGGAGTAAATTTTCTCAAACTGTATTCTTTCCTATACTGTATTTTTCTTCCAAGTAATGATGGAGAAATACTGGGAATATTTATGACTGAAAAATTCCCTGCTTGTTTGTATAGTGTATATATAGTTTTATATATATAAATATATTTATATATAAATATATAGTTTTATGTATTTAAGCTGCTTGATTAAAACTGAGTTTAAATTTGCAAATGCAAAGAATTCAAATATCTTTCAATGCTCTTAAAAGTCAGAGCTCACAGTTCTCCTTGACTCAGTGAAGAATTCAGGTCTGGCTCTGCAGAGTGAAGTGTTAATGGCTGTAGTCCCTCCTGTATTAAAACTGTTTTTCTTCCCCAATCCTTTAGTTTTGCTGTGACATTCCTGAGCCTGCTCCCTGCCTGTATCAAGCTCACTGTCCAGCCTTCCCTGCGAGGGTTTAAATTTGCCTTGGTGAGTGTTTGCTGTTCACTGCTCCTTGTTTTGTATCCCCCACAAGCACTGGAGGGCAACCAGCAGTGCCAGCAGCATGTGGGCAGGGCACAGAGGGTGGGAGCCATCAAATGCTGAAGGAATTGGTTAAAAAGTGTTTTGCTTCCTCAAATCCAGGGCTCTGACCTGGCCTTTAAACCCAGACTTGTTCCTTAAGCTCAGTTTTCTTTATTTAACTCTGTATTTTTATTATCTTCTTCTGAAGAGCCTTTGGGAGATTCCACACTCATTTAAACCTCATATAGAATTGGGATTTCTCCTCTTTTTTGTTTGGCTTCCAAAGTGCCAGTTTTTCTTCCTTCACTGGCTGCAAAATTCCATTAAAAATTCCCCAAATGGACATTGTGAGCTCATGAGTGGTTTGAAAATAAAATGATCCCATTTTCCAAAATGTTTGCCTTCTCTTAGTCACATCATTGAATTGAAGCACATTGCTATGACTCTTGTGCAAAAACTGAATTCTCCTTGAAATCAAAATTAGCTGGAGCTGGGTCCAAGTTTCAGAGTTATAATTTTTTTTTTAACTTTATCACAACATTACCTAAAACTAATGTTTATCCCAAGAACTGATTGGTTTTACACATTTTTATTTGGTTGGGGAATAAAAAACCAATTTGTTTACTTTTTCTGTTGGCTGGTCATGATGAGCAAAATTTTATGTCAAAAATGGGGGTAATTCTTTCCAGGAGTGGGATTTACCAGCGCCTGTGTGTGGGAATATTGTGATCCCTTGCTCTTGTCAGGGAAGCTGAGCAGGAGTGAGGCTCTACCTGAAAGACTTTGTGCCTAATTCTGGATAAACTTCCAAATCAGGTGGTTTTGGAACATGAGGGTGGCACAGGAGCTGCTCTGGGTGCCTGGGGTTTGCACTGCAGGGAATGCAGCAGTTAATTAGAAAACTCAGCTCATTTAGCTGCTGCCCCCACGCAGGGCCTGCACCTGCAGACACCAAAGCAGAGCTTTGCTTTGCACTCACAGGCTGACACATCTCTGCTCTCTCTCCTAAGGTCAGCTGTGCCTTGTCATTTTTCCTGTTCTCCTTTCAAGTCCATGAAAAGTCTATTCTTCTCGTGTCAGTGTAAGTAAATCATTTTTCTGTGGATAAAATTGGATCTTTTCCCCATCTTCTTATTGCATGCTGCTTTCACTTACAAATAGATCAGATTTTAACAACTCTTCACATTTGCTTTTCTAAATCACTTATGAATGACTGTGCAAGTTGCAGGCAGGCTGCTCTGTCCTTTTGGAGGTGGCAGTGGGGACAGTCACCAGCACTGCTGTTCCATGGGGATAGCCTACATGGACTGGGAGTGCTGTTTGATTAGGGAAAGCTGATATCTCTTTTTCTTCCTCTCGTTCTAGCCCAGTCTGCTTAATCATAAATGAAATCCCCTTCATGGCCACATGGTTTCTACTTGTGTCAACTTTCAGGTGAGCTGGAAACTGTTAACAGCTGGAGAGGGGCTGGGGACAAGGCCTGGAGGGACAGGACACAGGGAATGGGTTCACTGGCAGAGGGCAGGGATGGATGGGAGACTGGGCAGGAATTGTTCCCTGGGAGCGTGGGCAGGCCCTGGCACAGGGTGCCCAGATGCTGTGGCTGCCCCTGGATCCCTGGAAGTGTCCAAAACCAGGTTGGAGCACCCTGGGACAGTGAAAGGTGTTGAGGTTGAAACAGGATGAGCAAACCCATCTGTGATTCCATGCAAACCCTGTTGTGCCCCAGTTCTGGCAAGGATAAATATATTTACTGCTTTTCCCTGCCCACGCCAGCCTGCTGCCCCTGCTGCTGAAGGACGAGCTGCTGCTGCCCTACGCCGCCACCACGCCCGCCTTCCTGGCCGCGTGCCTGGCCTCCTTCTCCATCCTGGAGAAGACCTCTGCCGAGGACCTACAGCTCAAGGCCTTCTCCCTTTCCCTCAAGGGCTACGTGTCCTGGTTTAAGTCCTTTCCCAGGATTGTCAGGGGCCTGGTAAGCAAATGTTATTCCTTTACCTCTTCCTTGCAGCTTTTCCCAGTGCTGACGCGTCAGTGGAGGGGGGGCTGTCACTGTTTTGTGCCGTGTGGAAGAGTGCAGAGCACCCAGCAGCGCAGTGGCAGCTGAGCTGGCTGAGGTGTCCCACCACTCCTTGTGTTGCAGTTCCTGCTGTCCCTGGCCCTGATGGGAGTCCTGTCAGTGCTCAGTGCTGCGGTGCCTCCCCCCCAGCATCTGCCAGATTTGTTCCCCCTGGCCGTGGCCGTGGTCTCCTGCCTGCACTTCCTGCTCTTCCTGGTGTATTTTAATGTTGTGATACTCTGGGACTCCAAGAATAGAGGGCAGAAGAAAATCAGTTAATGAAGCTGAAGCTGCAGGACTGAGAGTGCTCAGTGAGAGGTGCCAGCACTGCAGAGGAGCCTGTGTGTGATGGATGCAACTCAAGGAAAGCCAGGAAAAACCTTTTGCTTATTTAAACACAAAACAATCAAAAGACTGTTTTAAAGAAATATTTTGACGAGTGTTGGGAATGGGATTTGATTTGTTTTCTTTGGAAGTGTCATACTTTTGTTACCATTTGTAAACCTAAAATGCCTAATAAAGGACCAAATTTTGAATTAATGCTAAAATACTGTATTAGCAAAAGCAGCATGAAGTTTTCTCCTTTCTCAGGATAAAAGGCACAAGGAAGTAATGCAGGTAAAGTTTAAACTCGTGCCTGGCAGCACTGAAGTTGTGGTGCTGAATTGCTTTATGACACAAACCTGGTTTGTGGCTGTCAGTCACTGTCCCCCTTTGCTGGGGGTCAGCAGCTCTGGTGTGGCTCCAGAACTGCTGCAAATCTCTTTAACAGGACCGAAAAGCCAAAACTTTTGCTTCTACTGCAATAAAAGCTGAGGTGCTGCAGTGCTGTTTGAAAATACCCAAACCCCTTATTAAATTGCACAGCAATTTGCAGATGTAAACTGAACTCAACTCTGCAATTTCTCCCTGGGCACAGCTCAGCCTCCAAAGCCAATAATTCAGAAAATACAAATTGATTGAGTAATTATAAACATAACAAAGCATGGAGGAAGAAAATAAATCATAAAGCAATTTAGGGTCGTATAGTTTAATTAGGAGCCAGTCTACCCGTTTTTTCTGTATCTATATATAAATATAAAAGAAGCCCCCCCTCGTTTAAAGGCTTCCCCTGTCACATTCCGGGCTGTCACTGCCCTCAGCCTCAGCGTGTGAATCAGCTGTTCTGGGAACTTCCAGCTGGGCCAGTTCTGAGCCCTGGCACTGCAGTCCCACAGGCTCAGTGTATTGGTGCACTTTTTCCAGGCTTATTTGTTGTGGAAAAAATACCCCCAGGCACCACTGCCCCCCTGGCAGCTCAGAGAGGATGGAAAGGGGCTCTGGAGTAGGAACTGGAAGGATATTGGGGGTGAGCACAGTTCAGTTTCTACATTGCAACAGTTCCTTATAAAACAACAAAACTTCCATCTTTTCCTAAGGATTTAGGATTTTCTGCGGGTCTGACTCTTAACTGTGGCATGCAAGAGCTCTGCCCACAGCATGGCCTTTCTGCAAGTGTGGGCTGAGTGGCACTGAGGGGACACAAAATAGGAATCTTTGTCTCCAGAGGCTGTGAAATCCCAAACCCACCGTGTTTCCCCCAAGGAACGGCCGCCTGATCTGTGCCAGCCTGAGCAAGGGCTATACCTACAGGGAAATGAAGGTGGATGGAAGCAGAGGGAGCCCAGGGTTAGCCCCGTGTCCAGCAGAGCCCAGGCCGTCCTTCCCGTAGCCAAACATTAGTTTTGGGTGTATCCCTTTCCTTTGTCCTTGAGGTGGCCTCGGGGGGTGATAAAGTGAGAGTCACCCGATCCACCTTGTGTGGAACTGGAACTGGTTCCTAACAGCCCCAGCTGCCTCCGAGGCAAAAGCCTGGTGCGGCAGGAGGTCAGAGACACGGAGAGTGCTCGTGTGCATGAGGGGCCGAGAGCAGAGCTCGCTGTGCAACTCCCTAAAAATGCCCGATTCAATAACTGCCACGGCAATAAACTGCCATCACCACCTTCGCTGCTGGCTCCTCCACAGGTTTGATGCTGTCCTTCCAGGACTGCCCAGAACAGCACGATTCAGACCAGCACAGTTGGTTCCAGACTCTTCTGAGATCAGTAATTATTTCATTTCCAGCTCCAGAGGTTATAGAAACTCTGGCTGGCTCAGGGACCCTCACACACACAACCACCCCCAGCTGAAAGCCCGGCAGACCAGAGGGAAATGAGAACGTACACAATTCCCTCAAACACTTCCTAACCTTCTTCCCAGTTAGACTCACAGGCAGTGAAGTGCAAAACCATTTTTATTAATTGAAAACTATTAATTGAAAGCTTGAGCGTGTGTGGGCTCAGCCACACCCTGAACACCTTTATCATGCTGGTGCTCAGAATCTTAGTTGTAAAAATCAGTTTATTTGAGGACTTTGCAGTGGTAGAAAGGACATTCAAGTGTTTGTTTTTGTGCTGGACTTTGATAAGAATAAATCGTTTTACTACACTTTTCAGCCTAATTGCAAGGATTGGAGAGGCAGGGGATTCACTTGGCTGGAGGGGTGAGGCTGAAGAGAAGAAAAGAGAAAAGCAGCTGGTTTATAAAAAAAGTTGGTTTATAAAAAACAGCTCTGCTGCTACAGCATTAAATGCCAGAACTAAACTCAAATGTTGACTTAAAAGCAAATGTTAACCAGAGCCCTGTGTGTTAATGCTGGGTTGGAGCCTGAGGCCTTTTTACCCTGGGGCTGGGGCTGACTATGGAGGGACCCTCATGTGGATGTCAGATCTGTCCCCAGCCATGGCAGCACCACCAGGAAAAGTGTTTGTAAACAATAAAACACATCCAGGCTGGGAATAATTAATTGCTGGCACTGCAGAGCTTCCTCCAGCCTCAGAGAAGCCCTCCAGAGCCCACAACTTACTTGCACACAGCACCAACCCCACGGGCACAGGGCTGCACAGCACCCAGGGTGGATTATTTACATTGAGATGATCTTGTTGTGCACATTGTTAAGTTGAAATAGATGCCAGAAATGTTATCTGGACGTGCACCTGCCCGGCGCAGCGAGCGCTCCCCAGCTGGGATTTGCTGTGGAGATTGGTTTACACTCGGTTCTTCGCTCCTTTTAAGTCCAGTCCAGCAGATGGAGAAGTTTGGGTTGATGTGGAATGCATTTTTCACATAATGCCTGTGGAGAGATGAGGAATGACTAAAATAAATAGCAATTAGACAGCAGCATCATCGGTCATGGGATCTGTTTGGAGTTATGGATGTGATGTCCAGTAAAACACACACGGAGCCGAAGGCAAGGCAGGGCACCAGCCCCACTGCCCAGAGCTGCAGGAACATCTTGGGATGTTTTAAGGAACGAGGACAAGTAACCAAAGGAGGAACAAAGTGGTGAGGAGAAATTCTGCAACAAGGACAAGTGGCCAAAGCAGCAACACTGAGGAGAAACAGCACAGGATGTTTCAGTGGGGGAGCAGAGCTTCGAGAGATTCTTTGTCACAGTGCTCAACAAACCAGCAACAAACGCCAGGGGCAGAGAACAACTGATTCCCCTCAGGGCAGCCTGCAGGACTCCCAGAGCTCTGCACATGGTTTACAAGAAGTACCTTGGCCCTGGTCACTCTGGCTGTGCCTCGGTGCTGGGAGCAGGCCCAGGGGCTCCTTCCTTCTGTCCAGGAATGAGAGCAGGAATGCAGCACTGCCAGTGGCCTGGATGGGATCTGTGAACAAGGAAAACACAGAAACGTGGTATGGGATAGACATCACAGTGGTGTGATGACAGAATTTGTGCAAACCCTGCCTCACACATGAGTTAAATCAGTTGCTGTGGTGGTTAAAGAGTCAGCACCCCTTTTCCTTCACACACGGTGTCTCAGGATTTCAGAGCTTGTCCTGGTGAGTGGCTGCACCTGTGTTCCATCACTGGCAGTGATGGCAAACCAGAACTGAATGTGCTACCAGGATGAGAAGCTGCTGCTGCCTTTTGCTATCAATAATAAAAGAATAAATGAGAATCCCCAAGGGCTGTGCCAGCAGAGCTCAGTCAGGGATTGCAGCAGAGGAACTCCCAGATCCATCCCTGGATCACCCAGATCCATCCCTGATCACCCAGAGCCATCCCTGATCACTCAGATCCATCCCTGGATCACTCAGAGCCATCCCTGATCACTCAGATCCATCCCTGATCACCCAGCTCCATCCCTGGATCAGCCACACCTGAGGCCGCAGCGCAGGGCCAGCCCAGGTGAGGGTGAGCTTGGCCTCAGGTACCACTTGCTAGCTTTATTCCTAACAAACTTCATTTGTTTACACAAATTACCAACCAAAAAACCCCACAACTGCTCCTAAGAGGAAACTGTCCAATCTTGTTGGCAAGTAACAGGAGGGAGGTTCAATTCCAAGCTGCTTTTCTTGTGCTAAATGCAATTCCACACAGGAAAGGACTGATTTCCCTTTAACCATGGGTTGCAGCATTGCCCTGTGTGGTGAGTAAAAAACCCAAACATGCCAAGACCACTGTGCTGAGCTCTGCCCAGCACTCTGAGCTCTCCTGAAAAACAGGAGCTGCTCAGATTCACAAAAAACACCACAGACTCAGCTTTGTTTTCCAAACAAAGAATCATGGAATGCTTTGGGTTGGAAGGGACTGTAAAGCCCACCCAGTGCCACCCCTGCCATGGCAGGGACACCTTCCACTGTCCCAGGCTGCTCCAAACCCCATCCAGCCTGGCCTTGGGCACTGCCAGGGATCCAGGGGCAGCCACAGCTGCTCTGGGCACCTGTGCCAGGGCCTCACCTCCCTTCAGGGAACAATTCCTAATTCCCAATATCCCATCCATCCCTGCCTCACCTCTGAGTGAGCTGTTGTTAAAAGCCCCACAAGCTGCCTCTCTCTCAGGATTTTCCCATGCAGAGCTCCTGAGTGAGGGCAGCTCCATCAACCAAAGAGAAGATCCAGGAGCTCCTGGGTGGGGATGGCAGCGAACAGAGCAGCTGGAAAAGGGCTCAGGGGAGGGACCAGAAGGTGCCAGAAGGGCTGTGGCAGAAGGGGAGGCTGCTGCAGGCCCAGCCTGTTCCTCTCTTCAGCTCCACTTTTAGGGTTCCCAGGGTCAGCAGTGGCTGGAGTGCCCCAGACCTGCTCCAGAGGCTTGGCAGAGCCATCCCTGCCCTTGGACCAACAGGCACTAAAAGGGCTCAATCTTCCCAAGTTTCCTTTCCCCTCCAAGTTCTCCCACCATCCTCTCCCAACTTTGACTGCTCTAAAACATTTACAGATCTAAAAAGCAGAGAGAAAAAAAATGTTCACCTGTCGGGTGATATAAAACCAATCTTCTACTAAATGTGCCAGAATAATTTTTCTCCACCTCAACCACAGTTAAAACCTTCAGTCTATTCATTACTGTCTTTTTATAGTATTTTTATTTAATAAAACCTATTAAGACTACCATACAAATCTCTTTACTTATGCTTTTATCTTTTAACTGATCAATTTTTATATTGCTGACATCCCTTCTTCACCATTTGCTCATTTAAAAATTCATAGTATATGAGCTATGTCTCTGGAGAAAACGTCTATAAAATTTGTTACAGCTGGCAAATGTGTATGAGTCAGTGATAGCACATGACTAAATGCTTCACAGAAAATAAAATTTGTTTCTGTAGTAAGCAGAACTGTTTAAATGTTATTTATTTTTATGTTTCAAAGAAAATATATTGTGAAGTGCTGCATTGATTTAATACGCAGCAATGTCTGTGTACACGCTGTACTGGGGAAATTTATGAAACCTTTGCACAACTCCTTTAATTGAATTTTCCAAATCTCTCACCACACACAAATAATCAATATCTTCTGCAGAGAAAACCAGTCAGAATTATTACAGTCTTTCTTTTCAATTTTGTTGTCATCAGCACATACAGAGCACCTGGATATTTGTAATGTCTGGATAGCAAGTTATTTACACCTCTTAAACATATAATTGCTACTAAGTGAGTCCAAACTAATGTTTCTTTTCTTTTTTATTTAAAATAATTATATTCATGGGAGAAAGCAGTATTTATTCTCATATAGGAGTTGCTACATGTTGGAAGAACTACAATTCTTTTGAATTTTTCATTAAGCTTAATACTCTAAACTAGATCCACCAGAATTAAAAATTCATAGCTTTTGCATCTCTAAAAAGGCACGTAGGAAAATAGAGTGTAAAAACAAGGGTGAAATCTGTGAATAAATGGGGCTGACACCTAAATCTAAACTGCAGGTTGACAGTTCTCTGTGTACTTGTCTGGGGCCTCCAGTCATATGTCTCATGTGCATTTCTGTATCTGCCACTGCAGTTAATGGCTTAATATTTCATCTGCATAGCCCAGGGTGTTCCATCACTGCAGAGCCCTGGAGCTGCCCCCTCTCCTCCCTTCCCTCCCAAAACTCCTCGTGCTGCTGGGCCCAGAGCCCAGACTCCCCCAGTCTCAGGCTGGTGGGAAAATTCAGGTGTGGGTACAAGCCCCCAGCCCCAAATCCTGCTGGGGAGGAGCAGTGGGGAGCTCCCCCAGCTCCTGGGGCTGGGGCAATCCCCACTGAGTGAGGGGCTGAGATCAGCCCTGGCCCAGGTGGGATGGCAGGAAAGCCCCAGGAGCACAAACAGGGATGTTCTTCCACAGGGAAGGGCAGAGGAGCCACGCCAGATCCCTCCAGTGTTCCAGTTTTTGCTCAGCCAGTTCCCAGACTCACTTTTCCCAGCAAAGGGATAATGGCATTCCTTCTCTGTAGGTAAGTACAAAGTTGAGCTGAGGAAAATAGATGTGGGTTTTAGGTTAGGGTTTTACAGCTGGAAAAATCCACTGCTGTATTCCCCTTTTCCTCAGAAGATCTCCAAGGAGGAGGAAGGAAAGGTGGGGCAGACACCTAAGTACATCTAAAGGTCAACAAATCTGTTACACTTTATTTGAGAATGATGTGAAAATAAACCCTAGCAACCACCAGAGCCAAGTGGTTTAGTCTTAGGACACCCAAATTCTGAACTCAAATGGACACAAAATGGGATAAATGGTGGAATTCTGTATTTTTACCTTTTTACTTGGTTCAAAGAGGAGCTCTGATTATTAAGGATGTGTTTATATTTTGCAGTGGTTGTGAAATGGGATTTATGTTTTAAAATAAATGCAGCTTTCAAAACTCTACTGCCAGGTGGAAACTCAGGAGTTTTGGTCCCTGATTTCTCAGCTTTGCTTTCATCAGTGATTTCAAGTGGCATGGAATAAAATCCATGCAGTTAACCATGATCCAATCTCTTGGAAAGCCACCACTACTGTCCCAAAAGCACAAACCTCAGCCCCTTGTATTCACCCCACCATGAAAGCTGGGAATGTTCAGAACTCAGAGAAGATCAGACTTGCCCCTGGGCTCAGCAGGATGAACAGCCCCACAGATAAAGAAGTGTTTTTTATTTCACCACAGCCTGGACAGAGTTTTCCTCACCACTGTAAGTATTTGATCTCTGGAACGCTCTCATGGTTTGTGTCAGGGTTTTGGGGAAGCAGAGTGTCCCTGTCCTTTGTAACAGACAGCTGGAGCAGCTTCCCCTTTTAGAGCTTTCACTCCTGGAATCTCCAAAACTACAAAATTTTCCTTCAAAATGTGCACACCCCAACCTGCACATCCATTCTCAGCACATTTCGGACTCCCAGACACCAACTCAATTCATCTCTTGGCAGTTTTACAATTTGCTTACTTTCTATTCAAAAACATTTTGTTTACTGTAAATTCAAGTCATGGGCAAACAATGATGTCTTTTTTCCATGCTGGTCACCCAAAATGATACACTGAGCTCTGCACAAGGCTGCCCATTGAGGCAGGAATGTTTTGTATGAAGTTGTTTTAAGAGGAGGTCGTTTATGTAAATAAATTTCATGCCTCACCATGTGATGATAATGTGACATTCCATCTGGACCAAGCCACAGAACAGTGCCTTGTTTTAAGCCTTGCAATAGGTTTTAAGCCTTGCCATAACTAATTAAAAATAATTATGAAAAACCCACATCTGAAACTAAAAGGCAAAGAAAAACATCTCCAGATGCTTCTCTTTGATCACAAACTCCTCTGCCTCTCCCGCTACTGCATTTTCAAGATTGCAAAATTGAATTTATTCTTTGTGAAAGCAAAACTGACATTGGAACTTTGTCAAAATCGCTCAGCTTAAACTCGGAATTCTCTTTTCCAGCCTACCTTTACAAAATATCTCTCATCTGAGCAGCCTGGCTGTGTGTTTGGGGCTAGGGGCTGCTTTCTGGAGCAGAGATGGAGCTCTCAGTGTGTGTGAGCAGTAAGGAGCAGAGCACAAAGGGAGCAGGGACTGTTCCCAGCATTGCCAGCCCTGCCAGGCAGGAGCTGCAGCAGAAGGACACAGGGAGCTGTAAATCACCACCTGCACACTGCACAAATCAGCCCAATTCCTTCCCAAGTGCTGTCACTCCTTTTCATTTGCAGCTAATCTGCTGCAGCCCAGCAAATCTCAGCTTGATCAATTTTCTGTCCTTTAAGAGAATTCCCCACAGCAGAGATGCCACCACTGCTCCTGGTTTTGGGTTTGCTCTGCTTTCAGATAGAAGGTGTGAAGATAACAGAAATATCAGAATATCCCTGGGGATGGTTGGTGATTTTACTGTAAGGATGAGACTGTCCTGTGTGTGTCCCCTGCCTTCCTGCCCAGGCACTAAAGCAGTTGGGGATGAAACACCACCACCTTCAAATATTTTCACAGCACTGGTTTTGAAGAAACCTCAGAGCTGGGATTTCACAGCCCCCTGCAGTGGGTGAAATACCCCATAAAATACTCAAAGTGAAAAAGGTTTTGCTGCAAGATTGTGACACTGAAAACACAGTGGGAGGGAGGAGGATGAGGAAGAACAGGGATAATTGGGATATACAAAAGGTATGGAAAATCTTCTGGACCATGCCACAAATGCAAGGCCATGAATGATTCCTTCTCCCTGCACAGTCTCATGGGGTAATACCCAATACGATGAAAATAGCAGCAAATATTCAATTTACATTTGCAGACCATTCAGAAGAAACACATTTGATTATCACCGTTTTCATATCCTAAAGGTTACCCAACTTATTTCAAGTGAAAAGGACTGAAAAGAAATCAAGCAAAAGGAATCAAAACATCTGTTACACAGGAGTTATGAAGAGTTTCTTACCTCGGGCAGGGACTTTTCCATAGTTTTCTTTCAATAGCTGCAGTTTTTCTGCTTGACTCACTAGTGAAGAAATAAATCCAAAATCAACAAATGTTGCCCCAGAGCTTTCAAAGAAAATAATACCTCTGCTGCCTCCTTCACTTTCAAAGCCTTTCAAGGAAAAAAACCCTCTTGCCTATATAACTGTGCTCAAAAAAAATTAACAAGAGTTTTCAAAATACAGACAATTCTGGCAAATTTTGCTTCCAAGCCTCCTCTCACATTTTGTTCCAATTTTTCTTCCTTCTAGTGCTGCCATGATTCCTAATTCAGAGATGGGGGAAGGATGCTTCTTTCCCAAGGAGCTGAGGGAAAGAGTGGACACAGGAGTGGCAATGGGAGGTCTGAGCTGTCCCTTGGGCTGTCTGTCTGTCTGTCTGTCTGTCCCAGCCTGTTCCCAGGTAACTCCATCCTGGCTCAGAAAGGATCTGGCACTACAGTGGGAATAGGGCAGGAGGAAAATGGAGTGAGCTTTGGAATACAAGTCAGGGAAGAAATGGTAATTGAAACAGCAGCATGTGATGCATCAGTTCCACTGTTTGGGAAGAAAATTTCCCTGGTACCTGTGGCTTTACTGTCCACCTGTTCCCAGCTGCAAAAAGCAGCAGCCCAGGCACTCCAGGTTTGCTTTCCGGGCTCCTTTGGAAAAGCGTTCCAGATGTGAAGTACCTTATCCCAACACGACAAACATCTGGAATGTCCATCATTTCAAGACACATGAATAGCGATTTTTAAAGCCTGGAAATTTATATCAGCCTAATCCTGCTGACAGGCAAACAAACAAACAAACCAACTTCCTCGGAAGGGGAGAAGAAAGGCCAAGCAATCCAAGTGCAAACGTTCAGCCTAATCCCCACCTAAGTACCCACTAAGTATCTAACTATTTACTGACCATTTCCATAAGAAAAGGTGTTGCTTTTCCAGGTTTTCCCTCCCCTGTGTGCCTGCCTTTTATGTTCCTGCTGGATGCACGGGGACACTCGAAGTGCATTTTTCCTGAGTCCCGGGGAGTACCAAAGGCAACATCTGGAGTGATCCCTGGGAAATGTTCCAAAGGGATAAATAAACGCACTGAGCCCCCTCCTCACCCAGCGCTTGGGTTTTCTGCAGCTCAGCACTCAGGTCACAGGACGAGTGTGAGACTCCGAGGATATTTTCCAGCTCTCTACTGCCCTCCAAAGCCTGGAAAATAACAAAATCATCGTTAAATCCCATTCCCAATACCTACTCCATATCTACAACATACCAAAACCAATTTGGAAATTGTTCATAAGCTCTAAATTCCTCCTCTTCTAAATAAACATTGCAATTAAAATATTTTGAATTAGTATAGTTTGTTTTTTATTTTTTAAATAAAACCTTGTCCACATGAAATAAATCAACCCAGTCCTCTGAGTACACTGAATTATTTCTCAGCTATTGATGTACAGCAACGAACCTTGTGCTAAATTTAGTCAGGAAACAAAATGGGAAAAAAGGAGAGCAATGATTTACATTTTAATATGTATTGGACTATTAAATAATCATACTTTAGTGCTAAATTAAATGGTACAATCACTTCAACACAAAAGGACCTTTAATCTTCAAAGACATAAAAATCTATGCAGTTAATTCATATTTCGAGTTCTAAATAATAATTGAGAACTACTTCATATTGGTTTTATTTGTGCACAAATTAAAAACTGAGGACATGGAAAAGCAACTCTTCTCGTTTAAAAAATCCAATGAGTTTTGAGATTTTTTTGCATTTTCTGGATTTCCAAGTCCAGCTTGCCTGGTTTCAAGTCTTTTGTTTCCCTACGCCTTCAAACTCAAATGTTGCATATAAAAACCTAATTTTGCTTTCAGATCCTATATTCGAAGTAGTTTAAAAGACAAATCAGTGTAAACCAGACCTTCAGGCTTGTCAGATTTGCTCTCAGTTTCAGAATTCTGGGCAAGGAATTTCTCACTTGGGACTGCAGTTGCAGGAACCTGTGTAAAAAAGGTACAACAATTCCAATTATCTACATCCCCACTCACTGAAAATCCATGTTTGCAATGTTTCCCAGAGTTTTTTCTCGTTGGGATGGGGATGGATCCAGTTCAGCTCTGAGGATTTAAATCAGTGTACTGCACAATGTAATTTCCATCTGTAAAATTAAGTGTATGGGAGTTCACATGAATATTCAGTGTAGGTGTTGGTTTAGACTTGTTTTGATTTGAATGTCACTGCTGGTCTCCTGCAAACCTTTTAAAAACATTCTGAATTATTGAATGCAAACATTTCCATATCAATGAGGCCTCTAATTACTCCAATTGTTCTGTAATTCTGGGTTCCTGTCACTAAGAAATGAGGCTGGATGTGTTGACCAAGGGATTCACTGAATCACAAAAACCACCCCCCAATTAATCAATTTACAGTTTTACACTGGTATAATGTTAATATTTTCTTTTCTACTGTCATCCAAACAATCTGTCCAGCTCCACCACTTGGAAGACACTATCCTACACTGAAGGAATTTCAGCCTAATGATGTGGGAAAACATCCAGCAGAGGCAAAAACCCCAGGAAACAAATTGGGAGTTCAACTACAATAATGAAAAGGAAGAGCTACAACTTCAAACATAATATTTAGGTGAATAAACGTCACAGTTATTGTCTGGTGGTTAAAAAGAGATGCAATCACAGCCCTGTACCCATAACAAACTTCAAACTGAATGCACTTACACATCGTCCTCTGTTTGAGGCTGCCCTCTCCTGGAGAATCCGCTCTTGGAATTGCTCTGCTCATTCCCATCTCCTCAGAAAAAGAGACACAATAAAGATAAAAATCAGACGTGGAGTATTTGAAGCACCTGAAGAAGGAGTTGGTGTGAACCTTGAGTGCTGAATGATCTTTTGAGAAGAGGAAAAACCTCAAAGCTCACTTGGAAAGCAAGACTTGGAATGAACCACACTAAATTATTTATAATTTACACTTTTGGAATTTGACCTCTCCTCGGTTTCTGGAAACCTTGGGATTACAGCATTAATATCTGGAAGTTAGAATCATCCTGGCAGATATTTACTGTGCTCTTCCAGGAGCTTTTTATCCTATTAACTGCAGATTAACATCGAGCATTATCCTGAAAATGCTGGAATGACTGAGCTATGAAATTCCCATTTCCCTTTATGAAAACTGCCTGGCCCCAAGTCCATTTCCTAAACAACCACAAAGATACTGGGAATTGCTTCCAAAGGCTCCAAATGTGCTCTACGGACAATATAATATTCCAGTCTGGCATGTGATGGATGGGGCAGGATAAATGTGACCTCTGACCACAAGACTTTCTGAATTTACATGATTTATCCAATTCCCACAGGAATCAGAACAAAACCAGATTAAAATTTTAGCTTGTCTATCAATACTTGTTCCAGCAATAAAAAAAAGTCACATGTGACTATCAGAAATTATTTAATTGTGGATTAAGTTGAAGGCATCACAAAATGTGGGGATTTTGTAAATTCACCTTCAAGTGAAAGATTTGGAATTTACCACGGGCTTAACAAATGTACAGATCCCAGACAGACCCTGTGGAATGAGGAGCTTTCCACATTTCCCTGTAATAAATCTCCTTCCTGCCATCAGACTAAAAAAAAAGAGACCACACTCAGCATTAAACACTTTGATTTCTTCTTGTTAGATCTAAATTATTACATCCAAGTCTCAGCACTCAAGGATAAATTAACTTTTAATTTTAATATTTTGTAAAACATTTAGAAACACTTCAGGATGACAAAGTGCTATAGAAGTTTAAGCTTTAATACAGTAGCTAAAAGTTAAGACCCTCAAAGATTTAATTTAAAATCTAAGTAGTCAATAGAACTGGGACTTAAATCAGCCATCAATTATCAAACAGGTCATACTTTTAGACCAGTACTGTGGATTTTTAGAAGAAGAGCAGAAATTGTGGGTTAAAATGGACAACCTGGAACCTGGGATTTAATAATTACACACGACCATCTTGTAGCTATATGAATACAGGAAAAAAAAACCAAAAACACAAGGAATTTGCTAACAACTGAAGTGATTTTTTATTATTATTATTGTTGTTGTTGTTGTTGTTGTTTTTACTTAAACATCTTTTCTAGAGTTGTACTGCAAGGAAATTAAAGCTCTATAGGGAAAGATGACAAAAAGTCCCTCTGTATTCTTCTTTTTAAAATAAAAAAGTTACACCGAGTAACCTGAGGGTTCCTCAACACTTAAAGTGGCCACAACCACAATATTTTTATACAGTCATCAAAGAAAAAAGCAGCTCAGTCTACTGAAAATCTGCTTCTTGAGCAGTCAGAGCCAAAAGCTGTGACTGTGTAACTAAGTGAACATTTATCCTAAAGTAAACTGGAAATAATATCATTATAATCTTACAAAGGTGTCTTTTCTGAGAGCTGATGACATTCAGTGTTATGTTAATTAAAAACTGTCTCACTCAGTTGTTTTACAACCACCCCCAAGATTCACACTGAAAAAATTGAAGTTTAAGTCCCAACTTTGGAATTTCCAGAAGAGATTCTTGGAGAGGAAAAAGAAATCAAATGTAGCAGATGGGAGAGAAGTGCTAAATGCAGGAGAAAGCAGGAAAATGCTGTGGTAGGAAGGAGGGGATGCTCAGCTCACCCTCTGCTGGGGCACTGCTGGGATCCTGAGCCCTGTCCCAGGTGGGAGAGGAGCAGGGACTCAGCTGCCGTGTGCCCGTGGTGGGTGAGTAGAAATTCAGGTTGCTCATTTTGGCCTTCAGGGGGGTTGCATCAGTTGCCTGAAATGGAGAAAAATACAAAAAAAAACCACAAAACAAAAAAAAACAATCCTGATGAGTATTGACAAAACCTCTCTGAGCTTTTACTACCTAAGGTTTTCCTAAGTAATTCCTGGCTTTATGTATTCCCACTATGGAAAGCCCATGTTAAATGTTGTGGTGGGGTGACTTTGTGCTCATCAAGGTTCTCTATCACTCCCTCTTCTCAATAAAACTTGTTTAACTCTAAAAAATAGAAAATCCTTTCAAACACATTGTCTCCCAGGTTCCATAAAGAAAAAATACCTGTTTTTCAGGGATTTTGGTACTATGGCATGATCACCTTGATGTTTGGGGCTTTTTTAAAACAGCCAAACCAAGTTATTTTTTTTTCCAGTAATAACAATTTAAGACATAAATATTTTTATATTTTAATTGTATCAAAAGTTATTTCTAGTATTTTTTTTAAACAAGTGTTGATTGAAAAAATCCAAAGTGAGCCCCTTAAAGCCAAAATTTTGTCTGTGGTTCAGGGTTTCAATATGTCTAATGATGTAAGAGGAATTATTTAATGATGTTAAAGGCTTTGTGCAGAGAAGTTTTCAGAAGAATAAATCTGCAGTGCTGGAAAATGAACAGGGATTCTCTGGGACAGGCTCTAGCATGGATGCTGAATTGCAAGGATGAAAATCTGGGATTTTCTGCACATTTCATGTACAGAAATAAAAGAAACCAACCCAAACCTTTACTTTACAACCCCCAAGTGCTACTGCTCATCATCAGTAGTGGGACTTACAGCAGATTTGAAAAGATTTAATTTGCTGCCCACTTGCCTCTGCCTTGTTTTAGTCTCAAATACCTTAAATAATTTCACATCTCTCATTTATACTCTTGTTCCAGTCTAGCAGCATTTCTGCAGATTTCTACACCTGGTAGAAATCCTCACTCTGTCTTGCCACATTCAAGCAGGTTAAAGAAATCTTTCAAATCACCTGCAAATGAAATATTAATTGAAGTATCAATGCCAATTTAGGGCTTAACATGTCATCAAATCTCCTTTTCAACAGGGAGAATCTCCAAATATTTCAAACTATTTTTCCTGCTTGAACAGCAGCCACCTCACTTCTGGATATGGATAAGGTTATTTTAAACAAAATTCCTGCAGCACTTACAAGAACAGATTTTATTTGTCAGTAAGATTTTCTCCTCCTGGAAGAAGAATTTTACTCCAGTTATGAAATTTTTTAACAATACCACACTGAGATTCCAAAAATCTAAAAATACTCATTCCCGATCTGGTTGGTTCATGAATATTTTGATCCATGGAATGAGGAACTCTTGGTAAAAACAGGGAAGGAATGAGAGAAACAGCAAAGATTAAGCATGTATTTCACCCAAACCATGAATTCACTACTTTCTGTTCCTTCTTTCCTTCTATAAAGTTATTTAATTTAAATCTTTGACATGCATCTGTTGGGGACCAATAATGTGTGAACCAAAAATCAGTGTAAAGCCACATCACTGAGCCTCCACTAAAAGTTTCTATCGTTCAGGGGGGTTTTTCCTCAGCTTTCTGCTGCACAAGAACCTGACTGCAGGTAAACATGGAGTAAATATTTTTATCTCATGGGAGGGGATGGCTTTAGGGAGGAAAAGCATCCCATGGAATTTCAGCTGGACCACTTGTCTACAAAAATGTTACTGCAGCCCAAGAAACAGATACAAAACTACAGTCACAGCTGCATTCTGAGCCGAACAAGTTGGGTTAGGGTACTCTAAGCTGCTAATTAAACTGTTAATTTTTTTTTTTTGTGCCACCGTGGTGTTTTCCCACCTCTGTCGAAATTTTCAAAAAATAAGTGTCTAGAAATTTTTTAAATGCCCAATTTCTGCCTTGCTCAATACCACTGAGGCCTCCAAATAGGTGCTGCATATACAAAAACCTCTTCAAAACGACCCAGGCTTGGAGACTGATTGGGAGCTCGTTTGCTGACCAGCTCTTTTCTCTCTGTCCTTCTCCAAAATTCTCCTTCCTTTGCACCCTGCCATCCTCCCCAGCTCCTGTGCCCTGCTGGCTGCAGCAGGAGCCGCAGTGGGAGGTGACAAAGTGACATATGTCAGGACATGCTGGTGGCTGGGAGGATGCTGGAGCTGCATTTAGAACAAATAACAGCACCAGTAGGATTTTATTTTGGTTGTGATAACCGGGGTGAAATTGATGGCAGCGTTAGGAGTTTATTGTTTCATTATGCCAGATTAGCTGAGGGAGGTAATTACAGCCCTGACACGAAAATGCCTTTAATGTTTGCATTTCAATTTTGCAGTTTCTAATATGCAGATTACAGCATTATCATAATTCCATATTGTCACACGTACAATTACATGGCAGAATGTTTGCTTCCCAGGATAATGGAGCTAATTTCTAATAAATGATTTCACCAAGGATCTTAACTCATTCAGCTCTTGGGTAAATAGTGGTGGCAATAACAATATGCACATTTTTCAAGTGATTCATGCAGATGTACATTACTTAACGCCAGGCAGTTCTGTGACAAATGAAATACAATCAATTTTATACTAATATTTGCAGCAGTAATTTTGTGCTTTAAGATTTGCTCAGACAACATCCAATCTGTAACAACATAAAGGCAGCTAAAATGAAATGGATTGTCTATATCCACATTTGTTTTTGCACACAGATATATATACATATATATTTATACAGCCCAGATGGCTCCAGACACCAAAAAATACTTACATTATCTTTTTGAACAGTGTCCAAATTTAATGCTCTCTTAACCCTGCAAGAGAAAAACATGGACAGGTTTTATGGTCTTGTAGACACAAAGATTTCTGTTAGTAAGGTCTATCATTGGTAATGTTAAAGACAGTCTCCTTTTTTGGTTTCACATTAACTGATGGCATCCAAAGCAAATCCATTCCCTGAATGTTGCTTGTTTAGAAGGATAAAGTGTTTGCCTAAGTAAATCTGATTCTCCATTTTATACCAGAGATAAAATCAAGGCTCTGAAGTGAAATCATGCTGAGTATTTATCTTTTCTCCAAGGCTATAAAACAACAACCCCCCCGCAAAAGCATTTCCATTTACATACCTTCTGAGCAAGGCTTGCAATTATTTTGCCATTAGTCGAAATAATGTTTAAGACATTTAAGACACAGGTACAGGCAAGGTGAAAAAAGTAGTTTTTCTCATCATTTTAGCTCTTAACATGATTCAGTGCTACCAGCCTATGACTTAACTGGGGAACAGATGCTCTATGTCTTTACAGGTCCCCAAACCATAAGAAACTGTTTGCTTCCCCTCTTCCCTCTCCTGATTCAGGAACATGCCAAGCTCTCTCTGCAAAATCTGCTCCTCTGAACTGGATGCCCAGCTGTTAATGGCAACACTGGAAGAGGAAAGCTGAATATTTATAATACTTTATATGGTACAGCTGTCTGCTAAAGAGCAGTCATCAAAATTTTATTGAATGCAGGCAAAATGCTCCAAGGAAAGAAAGGTCAACATAAATTAAGACTATTTTTCCCAGAGACAACGGAAACTTTTTAAGCACGTTCCTAAATCTTAACAATAGTTTAAAGCATGATGTAAAACGATGAGAGAAAAAAAATCTTTGTAAGAACAGTCCCCAAGAAGCATATATATTACATTGAATTAAACAAGGTTTGGAATATACATCATATTTCAAGAACTTAGCTCAGTTTTCATCTTGGAAAAAGAATGTTTTGCCTTGTAAGGAATTTAGATCACCTCATTCCAAACATACCCTTTTCAAATTTATGCTGCTATTCCAAAACTGTAAATTAAAGGATTGGGAAAATAGAATGGAAACACATCTTTGATATGTAACTCAGGCAAAGGTCTTATATGAAAACTGTTTTACAGCTATCTCTATTACAAAAAGGGGAAAAGAAATATCCTGTCTTTAAAAAGCCAAGTAAACAGGTAGCATTTAAATTAAAAAGGCCTCTGAAATTCTGGCCAAAGGGCAGCCAAAGCTGCAACAGTTTGATGGAATTCTTTACAATGTATTTCTTTTTTAAAGAGAACACCATATAGCTCAAGGAATCCCGACTCCATTACAACTTCCAGCTCGTGGCAGCAGAGAAATATTCCATTTATTAATGCATCCACACTGCAAGGATGCTCCGGGGGCCAATGCATTTGCATGTTACACTAAGGCATGTTCTGATGGAAGTTTTTATGGCAGGTGTCAACAGGAGCTGAAAGCCAGAGGAAATCAGGAGCAGGAGCACAGCTGTAGGATGAAATAAATGAGAAACTACATGAAAATCCCACTAAGTTATAAACACTGAGAACATTTCTTAGGGGGAAGGCTGTGCACTGATCAAAGCCACATTCTTTGAAGTCTTTCAAATATTGTGTACAGCCACAGAGCAGCACACAGCCCAAATTTCTCTCTGCAAGCACCCTGAACTATGGGGGCAGAGATGGAGCCTCATTCCAAGCTCTTCAACGTTGGAAAGAGCTGGAATATTGTATTGGAAAATAGAATTTTACCTTTAGGAGGTCAATCTTGCCTTGTGCCACCCAATAGCCTGGCTTGCTTGGGGGCTTGTTTTTACTGATTGTCTTTTCAATGCCATAATACGAGAAGTTAAATCAGAATTATTAAAAATTTATGCTCTAAGTCTACACACAGACCCTGGCTTGGGCCCCTGAAAACAAATTTATCCTGACACCTAACATGAAAACCCTGTTGGCCAAATTGTTGTCTCTCAGATCTTCCAAAAGAAGAATGTGGTGAAAAAACAATACGTGTAAAGAAAAGTATTTTAGGAAATAACATGAAGAGCACCACTTTTAGTATGGTTTATTTTTTTTTTATATAGCTCACTTTGCCTGTGGTGTAGAACCAAATGTCAGAGTGGAACAAGAAAAGGAGACAAAAAGATGAGGCACTTGTGGTGAGAGTATTTAACCTGAGTTTTCTACCCTTGAATTAGCCTGACAAGGTTTAATTTATTTTCTTAACCATGCAGAGTATGATGGCACGTGTTTACAGCCAGCTGTACAACCTGCAGTGATTATTTTGTGCCTAATATTTATCAGGTTAAAGAACTTTCTTTATTGATTTCCAGAAGCCCACGATGAGCAGAGATATACAAGAGCAGCACCACACTTACATGACTTGATTAATTACTTCCTGCTTGATAAATTGCAAAATATAGGAGAAAAATGAGCAGGATTTATTCCCTTTGGAGACAAAATGAAGAGATACAGCCTGATGGAAAATGGGCTTGGGGGGGGGTGTCATGCCATGATCTCCACAGGCCTGCAATTCCTTCCCACCTCTCTGCACCGGAGTGTGTGAATCTGTAATTTAGTCATTGCTGTAATTGTAGTAAATCCTGTTGAATCACTTTATAAATATTAAATCAGTCAGTGATTAAGTGCTGCTAAACTCTTTTGCACCTGTATCTTTTGTATCTATATCCTCGTCCCTGTGACCCTTTTGCATCCCTGGTCTCTGTGTAAATCATTCTAAATTGATTCTAATCCCATTTTCCTGTCTATGCTCCATCTGTGTAGCGAGCAATAGAGTGAACCTTGCCATCAAACTCTGTTGAAGCCACACTTCCACAAATTCATATCAAAACCTGCTTTTTTTTCACCAATCCCTTCAGTGGTGGCCAAGGGAGAGGTCAGAGGATAGATCAAGCTTTGCCCAGCAATGGGACAAGATGCAAGGGGCAGAAAACGATGCCCAGGAGGTTCCACCTGGATGTGAGGAAGAACTTCTTTCCTGTGCAGTGACTGAGCACTGGAGCATTGTTCAGAGAAGGTGTGGAGTCTCCCTCACTGGAGATATGCCAGACCTGCCTGGATGCCAGCCTGTGCCATGTGCAGGGGGATGACCCTGCTTGAATGCTGGACTGGATGACCCACTGTGGGTCCTTTCCAAGCTGAACCATCTTCTTGCCCCTCTCCCACAGAGCCCCACGGCTGTTATCCATGCCATGTAGAGAGATATAGAATTAGAATAACTGGGACTGGAAGGGATCTCTGGAGATCATCCAGCCCAAACCCCCTTGCACGGCAGGGTCACCCGGGGCAGGTGACACAGGCTTTGAAGACTCCACACCCTCCCTGGGCAGCTGCTCCAGAGCTCTGCCACCCTCAGTGTCCAGCAGTTTTCTTGATGCTGAGGTGGAACTCGTTGTGTTTTAGCTTACGGCCATTGCTCCTTGTCACGTCGCTGCGAGCAGAGCGACCCCTCGGAAATGCAGAACCCAGAGAGGATCACCCACAGCGCTGCCCCAGGAACCACTGCCGGCATTTCCCGGGCTGTTTCCATCTGGAAACAAATCCCGGACTGCTTCCATGTGGAAACAAATCCCGCCCCTCGCCAGCCGCTCCTTCCTCCCCGGGCCCGCTCCGAGCGCGCTTCTCCCCTCACGGAGCCGCACCCGCCGGGGGAAGCGCTCCCCTCACGGCAGCGGGTCTGTCTGCCGCGGGCTCTGCCGTGAGGGGACGGTGGGAGAGGAGAGAGCACAGAGAGAGGGAAGAGAACAGGGGAGGAGAGAGGAGGAAGAAGAGGAGGGGGAGAGCAGCGCTGCCCCCTCCCCAGACACCTACGACATGCCGGAGCCGCTCCCGCCGCCGCCCCTTCGCAGCTCCCGCCGTGTGCCCGCCTAACGCCGCCGGCTGGAAACGGCGCCGAGCGCGGCCGGGCCGGGCCGGGCCGGGCCGGGGCCGAGGAGCTCGGCAGGGCTGCGGGACCGAGACCGGGACCCCCGAGAACCGAGACCCCCGAGAACCGAGACCGAGACCCCCGGGACCGAGACCGAAGCCGAGACCGGGACCGGTGCCCGTGTGGGCTCGTCGGGTAGGAGCCGGGCCGGGGCCGGTGATGTTCGGGCGGCGGGTTCGGGGCGGCCAAACGCGCCTCAGCGATCGCCGAGCAGGGCTGATTCCCCTCAGGGCTGGGGGAAGGGGATTGTAATTTTTAAATTTTTTTTTTAATTTTTTTTTTTTTTTTTTTTTTTTTACGGTGGGTGTTAAATTTAGCCCGTGAAACCCCCTGTGCCCACTAAGAGGGAGGGAGTGATGAGATCCATGCGGGAAAAGTTTCCTGGTTTGATGCGGACGCGGCCGCAGCAGGGCAGAGCTGCCCTGTGCCGCTGTGGGTTCTGTGGGGGTGTGAGCGCAGGGCTGTGCTGCCACGGAGGGTCTGATTTTGGGCTTCAGGAGGAATTTCTTCACAGAAGGGGTAATTGGACATTTGAAGGGGCTGCCCAGCAGGGCTGGAGTCCCCAGCCCTGGAGGTGGCCAGGGAAGGGCTGGGCATGGCACGCTGTGCTCTGGGCTGAGAATACTGCACTGGTTTGGGTTGGAAGAGTCCTTAAAACTCATCCAGTTCCACCCATTCCTTCCACTATCCAACCTGGCAACCTTCCACTATCCAGCCTCCCACTCATCCAACCTGGCCTTGGACACTTCCAGGGATCCAGGGGCAGTCGCAGCTTCCCCACCGTCACAGGGAGGAATTTCTTCCCAATCTCTAATCTAAACCTACTCTCTCCTTGTTTGGAAGCCTGGGCTGGATTGCTCCCCTCTGTCTATTTTTCTAAAGTGTCATTTATCCAGCCTGAGCCATGGGGCTGCTGGCAGTGCTGCTGTCACTGAGCCATTGCTCACTGGATTTCCCAGCCGCGGATTGGCAGCACTTCCTGGCCCACATAAGAAATATCTCAGTAATGGGAAGTCCGAGGAGTATAAACAAGAGTTCACATGTTTGAAACTGGTTACTGGAAAATTAACATTTTTTCTTCTTCTCCTCCTTGCCTTTCCCCCCAGTTCCATTCTGTGTGTGTAACACTGGTGCTTCATTATAGTGACACCCGTTTGCAGGAGCCAGGCTGTGCCAGGGGGTCCCTGCGGGCTCCTTCTGGTGCCTGTGTAATATTAAAGTGTCAGGGAGTTACAAATTGGGTACTTCATCCTTGATAAGCAATTATTATCTGCCTTTCCCAAGTGTAAAAGATCTGTATAACTCAACAAGGTGCCAGTGATTGAGGCCTCCTGAGTAAAAATCCAATGAGTCCAGAAGGAGAGCCTGGGATGGCGTTGTTTTGTTGCTGAACTTGAGATATTCCATTTATTATACTGGAATATATTTCCTGAAGTCAACATTGGGTAAAATAATACAAGAAGCTGTAGCACAACAGGATTTAGTGTCCCTCTGTGATGGCCTTGTAAAAATCTTAATCACCCCTGGTGGAAGCAGAAAGCTGCTGTCAGAGTTTGCTGACCATTGCTGAGCAAACAGCCTTAAGTTGTTTTAATAATTGAGGAAAAAAAGTGTTTCTGGTTTTTTCCATTCATTTATAACTATATAGGCCTTGGATTTAAAAAGCCTGAGTTGCTCAAAGTTTTATGAACACTGATTTTTAAGGTTTTATGCACAATTATTTCTATTATTTATGTTTAGGTAACTCTAAGAAATAGAATTCTATGCTTAACCTGGCATTTTTTGAGATTAAGGATTCCAATTTTATTATTATCCATATGTCTTACTGAGTTATAAGAGTAAAAAGAGAAAACATGGATAGCAAAGCCTTGTTTCACATATAACATGAAAATGTGTTTTTGTGCTTTCAAAAATCAAGACTATATAATGTTTACGTAGTACTTGTAATATCAAATATCTGCAACTATGTAAAATACAGTGAAATTAAACTTTTTACTGCCAGTGAAGGATAAACTGTGAGAAACTCTTTGTGCTTGTGGATCTCATGGTGCTTACCTACAAGTGTAGATAACTATTCCCATCCCAGATTTAGAGAAAAGAAAGGATGTGACCTGGATATTTGGATAATTTGGGCTAGTCTGTGTTTCAGGGCACAAACAGAGGCATTATTAAGACAATTCCAAATTCTAACTGGAATTTCATCCCTCACAGGATGGCCAGCACTCCTGGGAATCAGAAAGCCACACACTTGGAAAATTCTCAAGGGAAGAAGTCCCAGCATGCAGAAGAAGCCATTTTTTACATAAACTGCAGAGCAGCTTATCTGACTGTCTTAAAAAGCAGCTTAGAAAATATTAAATCAAAAGAACAACTCAATTTAGGTAATGATTGGGTCTTTTCCCCTCTAATGCTTACTGTGCATAAACTCAGTAACTGGCTTAAGGAATTGAGAGTAGTTTTGGATGCCTGCTGGAAGTGGGAATGCCAGACAGAGGCATTTTATTGTAGATTATTTTATTATAGATAATGAAATGGATTTTAGATAGATTTATAGGTAATTAAATAGATTTATGGATTTTTATTTGTAAATCAGCAGTAGGAAAGGTCTCCATAGTGGACCTCTCTCCTGTATGGGCACAGAAAACCACCACAACTGGTGTTCCATAAGAATTCTTACTCCTTATCTCAACTCCTCCTGAATTACACTTCCCTAGACTGGAATATAAAGTTCTCTTTTTTTTGTCCAGACTTAATTTGTGTAGAAGTGATGGTGGTGGTGCCAGCAGAACAACAGGAAAAACAAATCTCTGACTGTTTCAGCTGCACTAAATAAGGCTGTTGGTAGAAACTGAAAGCTTTGGGCCTTTGGTTTGAAAACTTCAGGAATTTCAAAGGGAAGTGAGAAAAATTTACCTGAAAAATGAAAGTTGTTCTCTTAATAATGTATATTAGTGACCAGGTAAGATAAGGAAAGCGTAAGGTAAGACTGAGTAATAAATAACCTCAGTTTTGAAGAAGGTTTCACTATTGCAGATAAAATTCCTCAAGCAAATACAATTCCAACTTTGCTCTTTCTTGGAGTTGTATGATTGTGTGCTCTCTTTGGGTGGTGATTTTTTTTTTCTTAGACAATTTTGTTCTTTTTAAAAATGTTTTTCATGGAAACCACCACTGTAAAAGCTGAGTGCACTGATTATCGCTTCTTTCCCTACAGCAGAACATGAAATTCCACCCATTAACAAGCTTATTCCTACAGCTTGTGACTTGGTGCTCTCCAGGCTTTCCCAGCTGCAATAAAAGGCCCTTTATGACATAATTAGGATAGTTTGGGATAATCTGGATTTTAACAGAGGGGTGGTGTGAACAAATGTCATCTCTCTAATAAATGCTTTGGCTTTCAGCTCTATCCATATGCCACTTGGCTACACAGCAAGTGTTTGAGCATTTTGCTTTCAAGGTCAACTTAGAGAGGGAAGTTAGTTGTTTAGAATCCTTCCAGAGATATTTAAGAATTTATTTTAGAATTTGTAAGCATTGAGAGTTAAAGACTTATATTTCATCTTAAGTCAATTTTGGTGTTTCTCAGATGAGTGGTGCTGATGTTTAAGCATCTCTTTATGAAGTCTGGCTGATACTCCAAACTAAAGTGCTCACTGAGAGATTGGCCCTGGGAAATCTTATTTGTAGGAGTTTTGCTTATCCCCATATAGTAGCTTAATTTCCTGTCTGGAGTGATTTAGCAGAACCAGACCATAAAGAATAATAATAAATAAAAGGTGCAGTCTGAGCTTTCACAAATACAAATTGGGAGGCATGGAGGGAATGGCAAGCGCTGATCTCCCTGGAGATATAAAATAAAGGATTGTATATTTGAAGGATATCTGTCAAATATAATAATGTGCTAATAATAATAATAAATAATCATTAATTCCAGGGAACTCTCCTATCCATGGGAACAAACCCCCAGAATCTCTGCCTTTCCTTCCCTGCCTGCCCTTGACCGAAATCCCCAAACCTTTGCTCCGTGCCCAGGCACGGCTCGGATAAAGATGTGATCCCTGCTTTGTTCTGGGTCCTCCAGCAGAGGTGGCAGGGCTCAAATCTTTATTTAGTGCTTGGCACTGAGGCAGGGATTAACAGCAGAGGTGCCTGGTTGGTTTGTTGGTTTGTTTGTTTGTTTGGTTTGCTGGTGACATGGGTCCCACTGAGCATTGTCACGATGCCACCACCTCATTTCACAGATGCTCCTCAGCACTTCCCAGCACAGGCTTGGGCACTGCTCAGCTGGCTCAAAATCAAATGCCAGCCCAGGTGGAGATGGAGGATCTCCTGTGCTTCCCTTAAAGATTATTTGGGAAGATATAAAAGCGTCCCTCTTGTTTCAGATAGACTATGCATTTGAATTTAATTTCCATTTAACGTAATGCCTTCATCACACTGAAAACTGAAAGGATGTCTTCAGTAAAGACCTTGAAGAGGCAAAGAGATCCAGCAAATTCATTTTGGAGAATGCCAGGTGTAACACCCATGGCACTGCTTGCATGTGTGACATTGGCTGCCTGGTGGTATAATTTTTCCCTTAAAATTCATGTATAATTTGAATTGATG